GGGAGTTTAGGGCATACGTTTAGGAGTTGAGGCCTGGGGTTCCGGGGCTTTGGGTATACGGTCTGCTTAGGAGTTTAGGGTTTAGGGTTTAAGGTTCGGGTTCAGGGGTTTGGGCGTACGCTTTACGTTGGCTTTCACGGCTTCGGGCCTCCGCGCCAGGGGTTTAGGTCTCGTGCTTCGGGCCAAAACCCCTTTAAACCATGTCCTGAACCCCTGTCCTGAAAGATTCTCGCCCAACAGTGACGGAACCAACCCCCCCCCCCCCCCCAACCGCCATGTGCCTGCAAGTTTCTGTTGAAGCTTCTGTTGCTTTGTGTCGCAAATTTGTTCGACACCTCAAGGAAACCAGAAGCAACGCCGAAGAAAGCCTCCCGATTGCCTAGAGGTGCCGTCACCAAACACAAACCTTGCACCAAAGTCTACCACTTGGAGGTTCATGGTACGTACTAACCAACAATAAGTGTATGTATAACTGTACTTATAATCAACATATCAGGGCACTTAAGGGGCTTGAAAGTGGGTTCTAAGTACAGTTATGATTGGATAATTATGATTGGATAACAACTACCATGAACCTCCAAGTCTCCAAGTACCAAAGGAACGCAGGGGTGCGGCCAAGCCGCAGCCAACTCCGCGGCATCAAGGGACACCACCTAGCGGCCGCCACATAAACCCACTCCTAGTTTCCTAGTTCATGGTTGGGACAGTATTAAAGAAATACGACATTGAGTTTAAGTACCCTTAAACTCTTAAACATGTAAAATGTTACCCCACTATGACAAAGCCTCTGAACCTTGGGGTTTAGGGTTTCATCAGGGTGTGGGGTTTTAAGGTGGGTGCCCCTACATCCTAACCCTCAACGCCCTCAACCCGAAACCCTCGCGAGTTGTGGACTGCTCTGAGTCGCCTTTGGTTGGAAAGCCTCCAGATACGTCTGCCAGAGCAAATCCGCGAGCACCATGGCAAACCGGGGAAAGGGGACACCCCTCCGCGAAGCCAGTAGTGGAAACCCTAAACCCTAAACCCTAAATTCTGAACCCTAAACCCCGGGGGCGCTCAACCTTTGCCGGAAATGACTGCCAGGGTCGCAGTATCTGAGGTGGCAGGCCCAGCCAGCTGGCAATCTCGAAGAGCGGGGCTCGTGGCAGGTTTAGGGTTTAGGGTTTAGGGTTTAGGGTTTAGGGTTTAGGGTTTGACCAAGTCAGTGCAGTAACCTGCTAACCCGGTGCCCTGCTAGCACGCGATTTCGATGCGCGCTTCCCGTAGCCACCCACATGCTGGTGGCCTCACGACTTGGGACAAAGCCCCAGACCGGGGGAAGGGTCGTTAGTAGGGTTTAGGGTTTAGGGTTTAGGGTTCAGGGTTTAGGGTTTAGGGTTTGTTTTGACCCCTCAACTACCCTTAGCAAGGGTATAAGAAGGGGAACTCAAGGCACGGAAGAGTCTATAACGGGCTCTTAATTGGGGAACCCGAACATACCCCATATATGGTTGCGCCCCGGCGGGCCCAGGGATACCCAGGGGGGGGGGGGGGGGATACCCAGGGGGGGGGGGGGGATACCCAGGGGGGGGGGGGGAGGGGGCGCAGAACGCACAGCGCACAACCATATATAGAAAGAAATCTTGAATATTCATATGTATATAGATATATCTGTATATCAGGTAGGAGACCAAATTAGGGGACCACGCAACTTCCCCTAGGAAGAGGGCCGCGCGCCTCCTCACCCGACATCTTACGGACGGACATGGCCATCCCCGCATTGGCCGACATTCCGGCGTCGGCGAAGACGAAAGGATGGAGCCGAAAGGCCTACTCATGTGGGGTTTAAGGTTTTGGGGTTTTGGGGTTTTAGGGATTTAGGGTTTTGGGTTTCGGGTGTCGACCTAAACCTTAAACCCCCAAACCCTGAACCTTCTGGGCCTTAGGGTTCTAGGCATTGGGGTTTCAGGGCTTTGCGCTTAGGGGTCCGAGTTCCCATGCGAAGATGAACGAGTCTTTTGCGCGGAAGTTGTGGAAGTATCCCATAACGAGCTTCTGAAAAATACGCAAACCACCCTGAAAACCTCAAACTTCAATTCTCAACCATTAAGATACCCGAAAACAACCCTAACCCCAAAACCCTAAAGCCCAAGTAACCCTATGAAGTTACACATCGGCCTTGGGATGTTTCCTTTTATACTAATCAGTCCTTAATAGCTTCGTTGCTAAGTTCATAAGCCCCAAAAAAGTGTACACTTTCAGTACTATAGGGGATTAGAGTATCCCGGAAAGCGTAAAGTGTACTCATTCAGCTACTAAGATAGGCAAATAGTACTCCCTATTGTCTGCCTATTGTATATAATCCCTACTATAAGGCACTGTTCATCTAGGAGGGAACATCCCAAATTCGGCCATTATTTGAAGAAGTCAATGCCTGGGGGGGGGTGGGGGGGGGGGGGAACCCCCAGGCACAAGCCTAAACGGTGGACGCTCAACCCCATCAAAGTGATGTTGAGTCTGGCTGTGTCGTTCGAGCAACTCAAGTTATACTTTTGTACTATGATTCTACTGTATACTAGTCTACCATTGTACAAATATACCATTATACTATTGTGCTGCTATACTGTCTACGATTATACTATTAGCCTATTATATTCGCCTATCACCAAACTGCAAACCCTGAACCCTCGTCAGGTTTTCGATGATTACAGGGTGGGGCCCCCTTACTATACTAACTGTAGTTAAGGGACTTATGACCTAACTTAGGGTCCTTATAACCCAACTTAGGGCCCTTATAACTCTACTTACAACTAGGGGGCCCCACCCTGTAGTGTTTAGGGTTTAGGGTTTAGGGTTTAGGGTTTAGGGTTTAGGGTTTAGGGTTTAGGGTTTGAAAGAGATTTCTGGGGACTTCAGGGTTTGGGGCTCAAGGGTGAGGATGTTACTTGGAGGTTCGTGTACTTATTAACCAATGAAAAACTGTGCTTTTTTTTACCCACTTCTAAGCCTTTTTTAAGTGCTCTAATATGGTTGACATGTACAGTAAGAGTCAGTTATAATTGGTTAAAACGTACCATGAACCTCCAAGTAGGGAAACACCAAGCCCCCTTTTGTTCTTTGCCTGGGGCGGCGGTTTGTGCAGCGCGGTGCTAGACACACCAGGCGCAGCGGTTGCGATGCCTAGGAACCTCCGGAAGGGACCTTCTGTGTCGTCTTCATAGTAGCAATGTAGCCTTGCAGGTCTAGCCTAAACAAGAACTGCAGTTCCGTTCTAGCTACTTCACCCTAAACCCTAAACCCTAAAGCCTAATTCCTAAACCCTAAACCCTAAACCCTGAACCGTGGGTCTTAAGGCTTTAGGGGTGAAAGGCATACGCCCACCATGTCAGAGGCAGGACCCCTCCGGGGGTAGACGCGCCTGTGTGTGCCACGTGTACCCTCGGCCACTTCCTGCCCTGGGGTGGGGTTTAGGTTTAGGGTTTAGGGTTTAGGGCTTAGGGCTTAGGGTTTAGGGTTTAGGGTTTAGGGTTTAGGGTTTAGATTTTAGGGTCTAGGGCAATTGGCTTGAAAGGGCCTGTTACCCAAAGCCTGAACCCTAAACCCTATGCCTACAAACTGAAACCCGATCTAACCCTGAATCCTATCAGATATCTAGCTCGCCCCAAGAGTACCCTGGGAATAAAAATGGTGCCCTTTTTGGTTTAAAGAGGCTTACTTATACAGGAACCTGAATCCTAACAGAGAGAATAAGCGCCTACTCTGGGTCCTTAGATAAGGTTTCAGGGCATGGGGCTCAGGGTTTCGGGCCAAGGGGCTTGGGGAGTAACCCCGTAAACCCCAAACCCTGCAAAACTCCAAAACCCCATGAACCCTATAAACCCTATAAACCCCATAAACCCCATAAACCCTATAAACCCTATAAACCCTATAAACCCTAAAAACCCTCTCAACCCTGTAAACCCTATAAACCCTATAAACCCTATAAACCGCATAAACCCTATAAACCCTATAAAACCCTAAACCCGAAAGATCCTGTAAACCTTGAACCTTGAGACCCAAAGCCCTAGAACTGCATCGTGCACTTTGGCATCTCATCTCGGCGGCGCAAACCATCCCTGTGAGAAGAAGGGGCTTAAGGGGTTTAGGGTTTAGGGTTTAGGGTTTAGGGTTTGGGGGGTTATGGGCTTTTGGGGATTTTGGGGTAGGGGCTTTAGGGTAGGTCTTCGGGTTTAGGGGGTTTAGGGATTGAGGTCTGGGGTGTTTGGGGCCTTTCTGGTTCTTGCGGCTTTCTGCTTGATGTTGAGTGGGCTTCATACAGGATTTCTAAGGTTTGGGGTTGTGCCATGGGTAAAGGAGGCTGTTCGGCATCGTCCAGCAACCGACTTCACCCGTTGTACACTTTCTGGTTCGATTTGCTGTGGTTCTACGGGACCCTACGCGCTAAACCCTCAACCTGTAGCCCTAAACCCTAAACCCTAAACCCTAAGCCCTAAACCCTAAACCCTAAGCCCTAAACCCTAAACCCTAAAGCCTAAACCCCAAACCCGAAACCCGAAGTAGCAGGTTAGGGTTGAGGGATGTTTGGGAGGGTGTAGGGTTGCGGGCTTAGGAGTGCTTGCAGGGAGTCAGTTGGGATCCCACCCACACCCGGTTTAGGGCGTTTAGGGTTTAGGGTTTGGGGTTTAGGGTTAAACTCTGAACCCTAAACCTGATCAAAAGAGTTTAGAGGATTTAGGGGGCTTAGCCCTAAACCCTAAACCCTAAACCCTAAACCCTAAAACCCTCAGCCCTCAGCGCCTTGGCCATGTCCAGCGGCTTGTTCAGGAAAGGAGCGGCCTCTAGGAGTTTAGGGCTTTGCGGAGTAGGGTTCAGGGTTTCGGGGTTAGGGTTTAGGTCTTTTTCGGAGTAGGGTTCAGGGTTTAAGGGGTGAATACCGTATAATAGGGTACATTATAGTAGGGTATGTTTGGGTATATGGTCTAGGCTTTAGGGCTCGTAGTAGGGCTTATTGGAAGGTTTGCAAGGTTTATAGGGTTTAGGGTTTAGGGTTGTCACAAGGGTTTAGGGTTTAGGGTGGGTATGTCAGGGTATGTAGTTCGGGTAGATTAGGGCATATCGGGCATATAGGGCTCTGGGAATGTAGGGCTCTTGGGGGGCTTTTCAGGTTTGATGGGATGCACTTGGGGTATACGGGGCTTATGGGTACAAAAAACGGTTATGTATGTGTGCCTGTATGTAAGTATGTACATATATATATATAGATAGATAGATAGATTGATTGATTGATGATAGATGATCGATAGGTATATGTAGGGCTTAAAGGGTTTAACAGGGTTTGGGGTTTATAGCGTATATTAGGGTATATAGGCTACATGGGGATTATAGGGTCTATGAGGGTATATGAGGGTATGTAGGGCATATTCGGGTATGTAGGGTAGGTAATGTAGGGTTTATAGGGTGTATCAGGGTATGTAGGGTATGTAGGGTATAATAGTGTATATAGGGTATGTATTAGGGTTTCTAGGATTTGCAGGGTGTATAGGGTTTGCGGGTCCCCCCAAACCCCTCTGGGGCTCTAAAGCCACGAAGTCCTCTCAACAGCTCCCCCCCCCCCGCCCCCTGAGTTCAGGCAGATTGGAGGGGTAGGATGTGCAGGTTTTGAGCCCCAAAGCCCCAAAGCCACGAACCCTAAACCCTAAACCCAAGCCCCTAAACCCTAAACCCTAAACCCTAAACCCTAAACCCTAAACCCTAAACCCTGCATCCCGTAGCGTCACCTGCAGCAGTGGGGCTGCCTTGGCGCCCAGCTGCTGCCACGCCTGGCAAGGGGAGGCTGCCTGAAAATCTGGGTTTAGGGTTTAGGGCTAGGTTTTAGGGTTTAGGGTTTAGGGTTTAGGGTTTAGGGTTTAGGGTTTAGGGTTTAGGGTTTGGGGGGGTGCGGGGGTTGCTCGTGTAGTGAAGATGGAATGATTGAAGAAGGAATGCAACTATAGAAGGTACCTAAACTTCATTGGCTCAGCGCCTTGGGCTCGCTTGACTTGCTTCGAGAGTTCTCAGCGCCGCAATCATTCCCAAAACCCTAAACCCTAAACCCTAAACCCTAAACCCTAAACCCTAAACCCTATACACCCCCAAGCCAAACACGTGAAACATCAAAAGGCTTGTGGGTTTAGGCTTTCGGGTTGAGAATCCAAACCCCGAACTTTGCGACAAAACCCTAGCGCCTTCGGATGTTCACCCTTAGACAAACAGTCCTGAATAGGGAGTATAATGGGGGGTACTGAGGGTTTAGGGTTTAGGGTTTAGTAATCCCTTTTGAGGACTGTTATTTCAGGAGGAACATCCGTTGTCAGGCCCAACACTGCAGGCCCGGCACCTTCGAGCGCGTGAGCTCCAGACTTATGGAGCTGCGGGTTTTGGGCTTCGGAGGGGGGAGGTTTAACGGTTTAGGGTGCCAGGGTTTAGGGTTTGGGGTTTTGGGGTTTTGGGGTTTTGGGGTTTTGGGGTTTTGGGGTTTTGGGGTTCCCTTAAACCGTCAACTCAAAGCCACCAGAGCCCAAACCCCCCCCCCCCCCCCCCAAAAGCCCAACACACCCCAAACTCGAACCCTCCCGAAACTACCGCAAACCTTCATGATCAACCCTATATCAGCCAGCAAGACCCAAGACGTAAACCCTAAACACCAAACCCTAAACCTCTCCAAACCCCCAAAAACCCGAAACATCAGCCCAATGAGCCCTATGAGCTCTGGAACCGAATCTGTTGGTTTAGGGTTTAGGGTTTAGAGTTTAGGGTTTAGGGTTTAGGGTGTAGGGTTTAGGGTTTAGGGACCTCAGCCCTCAAACCTCTCCCCCAAGACGCCATGGCCTTGAGATGGGCTGGATGTGATCTCGGCGCCTAGCACTTGGAAGGTTTCGGGTTTAGGGTTTAGGGCTTAGGGCTTAGGGTTTAGGGTTTAGGGTTTAGGGCTTAGGGTTTTAAAGGTTGAGGGGTCTCCAGCCCTCAAAAGTTGGGAGACTTGTGGGGCTTCCAGGGGCAATTTGTCCGGCCTTCGGGAGGAGGTTAAGTGCTGGAGTTTCTGGATTCCGGGTTTTGGGGAAAGCGGTTGTCTGGCAAGGTTTGGCCCGTACAACCCAAGCAAGAAGCATCCTAAACCCTAAACCCTGAACCCTAAACCCTGAACCCTAAACCCCAAACCCTGAACCCTAAACCCTAAACCCTCAACATTGAACCCTAAACCCTAAACCCTAATTTTGGCTACTCTCACCCTGGGTTGAGCCTTCGGGATGCGCGGATACTCTGTTGAAGTATTCCCTTGGGCACTGTCCCTACTTACCAGCAGACTTGCATACGGGGGGGCTTAGTGTATCTGTAAAAAGGGGACGCCAATGTCGAGGGGATGGGATGTGTAGCGCCTCGTCGGTGGAGGGTTTAGGGTTTAGGGCTTAGGGGTTGAGGGTTTAGTGATAAGGGTTTAGGGGTTGAGGGTTTAGGGGTTGAGGGTTTAGGGGTTTAGGGTTTAGGCCCTAAACCCCAAAGCCCAAACCCCAGAGCTTCAGAGGCTTGGAAAGGAGGCCTGATATCGCTGGCGCAGGAAGTTCCAGTACCTTGCAGGTCGGACGGGGGTGAACTGCCACAGCTTGCAATCAGAGTCGTCGTACCTTCGACGGTACCCTCGGGTTTTGGGGACCTTCTTTAAAGATCCTTCAGGTAGTATATGGGCCATTGGGAGTATACTAAGGGGAACCTTTAGGGGTACAACCTTAGGGGTACGGGTCTTAATCCCGTAATCGCCTAGACCCTCAAGCCCAAAAACACCCTAAAGCCCTAATGCCCCTGACCAACCAGGAGATTCTTGAAAAGGAGACAACACGATTCTTCCATGACGCATCGATTCTTGCGATTTTGGGAGGTAGGGGTCCCCTGAGGGCTTCGCGTGTAAGGGGTGCCGAGGGATGTCAGACAGCTCAGAGCAAGAACCCTAGAGCCCTGCAAGCATAACCCCGATTCACAGCAAACGACATAAACGCCACACCCTAAACCCTCCACCCGAAACCCTACAAGGCTTAGGGGCCTAGAAAGGCGGTGGAAGGCAGATTCCAGTCGTCTGCCAGATACCTCACTCTGTCCTCGCTGCAAGCTTAAAACTCCGCACCCTCAAACACCAAAAGACGCACACCCTAAAAAAACCCTAAACCCTAATCCCTAAACCCTAAACCCTAAACCTCAAACCCCGAAACCCCCCCCCTTCTCCCCAAGTGCTGAAGGGATCACAGGATGAGAATCAGAAACTGCCGCGAGGGCAAGAAGAGGCTGACCTCGGTGTTTTGAGGACAATCCAAGGGGGGCCGGAATTGTAAACGCGTGTGGGCTGTGTAGGGTTTAGGGTTTAGGGTTTAGGGTTTAGGGTTTAGGGTTTAGGGTTTAGGGTTTAGGGTTTAGGGTTTAGGGTTTAGGGTTTAGGGTTTAGGGTTTAGGGTTTAGAAGTTAGGGAATTAGGCACTGTCGAGGGGGGCCGGAATCGCAGAAAGGCTTTCGGGGTGTGACCCGCTGGATTCCAACCCCTCAGCCCTAAACCCTAAACCCTCAACCCCAAACCCCAAACCCTAAACCCTAATAAAGGTGTTGAGGAGCTGCAAGGAGCCTCCAGTTCCCAGATGCATGTTGTAAGGTTTACTTGGAGGTTCAGGGTACTTATTAGCCAATATAACTGTACGTATAGGGTTTAGGGTTTATAACCATATTGGCGCTCTTAAAGGGCTTATCAGTGGGATATAAGTACAGTTGTAGTTGGCCAATGAATACCATGAACCTCCCATAGGGTTTTAAGGGAATCAGGTTCGGCACTTACCCAGAGGCCTAGGTGCCATGCTGGGGTGTAGGGTTTAGGGTTTAGGGATTAGGGTTTAGCTCCATTTGGTCCATTTACCTACTATTTTTTGGGGGGCGGGGGGGGGGGGGGGGGGGGGTATGCCCTGCATTTAGGGGGTTAGAACCTACTATTTTGTAGGGTTTGGGTTTAAGGGTTCAAGGTTGAGGGCTTAGGGGTTTCGGCGTTCAGGGGTTGGCATTCGGCACATTCAGTGTCCCTTTTATGAGGGAGCGTTGTTGAGGGAGATACTGCAATATATTGGGGAAGTTACTGGGAGGGAGGGGGAGCAATAGTGTTTTTGGAAGCTCCCATCCCAAACACTAGAACCCTAAACCCAAAAAACCTTATCAGTGCTTAGGGTTTGAGAACTCTAACATGTAGGAGCTGCATGGGGTTGGCATGTATAACAACGAGCCACAGCGCTGGACCTTGCAAAGCTTAAACCCTAAACCCTAAACCCTCAACCCTAAACCCTTAACCCTAAACCCTCAACCCTCAACCCTCACCCCCTCAACCCCAAACCCTCAACCCTAAACCCTAAACACTGGGGGTTTTGTCCCTCTGCCTGTGCAGGCGCCAAGTGGCGACTTGAGACTTTCTCACCCGCGAGTCGGTGCTAGCGCCCCCCCAAAAAACCCACAAACCGACCCCACTTGGGAGGTTCAGGGTACCCCCTCACCAACTTCAAGGGGGTCTAGGGTTTAGGGTTTAGGGTTTAGGGTTTAGGGTTTAGGGTTTAGGGTTTAGGGTTTAGGGTTTAGGGTTTAGGGTTTAGGGTTTAGGGTTTAGGGTAACTGTACTTATATCTGTACTTATAACCACATTAAGGCACTTAAGGGGCTCATAAGTGGGTGATAAGTACCATTATAATTGGTGAATAAGTACCATGAACCCCCAAGTAGCAACCCTGCAAACCCTTTTTAACCTTACAAACCTATAAGTCCTGACAGCATTTCCAAAAACAAACTACATAAACCCTACGTAGCCCCCTACAACCTCCAACCCTATAAACCCTACGAACCCTTGAAGCCCTTTCAGCCCGAAAGCCGCAAACCCTAAGCCCGAAATCGGGGAAGGCAGCGCCAGAGGCAGAAATTCACAGCGCCCGTCAAGCCAAGAAAGCTCAAGCTTGCAAGAAGCTCGTTGGGCAAGAGCTGCCAGACGACATACCTTAGTTGCTGAGTTCATAAGCCCCAAAAAAGTTTACACTTTTTAAATTTTTCGTTTTGCAGAGATTTTAGTATCCCAAAAATTGTAAAGTGTACTCACTGAGCTACTAAGATGCTCCTCAAAGACAAGGAAGGCACTGGCCAGGAATGCAGCCAGGGCTACAAATCCCAAGGAAAAAAGGATCTCCAAACTGAATCTCCCACAGCGTGCTCGCAACTTGTAGCTCAAGCGCAACAGGAGGTTGGCAATGCAGGGAAGAACCTTGAGGACAGAAAGATGAGTTGTGCTTTAAGCCCTTAGAAAATTATTTATGAATAGCTTCCCTTATAAGTAAAGAAGGGAAATTGAAAGATATCCCAAAGCACAAGCCAGAAGAACATACCTTGAATAGACTTCTGTGGTATAGGGCATGCGGTAAACTCCAGAAAGTTGGAACACCGTTTACGGATGACTAGAGCGGGGATTCCCCCTTGGTGTACCTTTTGGGGGAATGGGGACAAGGATGCTCCATTTTTTTGAAGTTTACCGTATGATCTCCGAAACAAAAAGGCTTGACAACGGTCCTCAATGTCCCCATGGCCTAAACCCTAAACCTAAACCCTAAACCCTAAACCCTAAACCCCAAACCCTAAACCCTAAACCCTAAACCCTAAAAGCCAAGGAACTGTCAGCCACCAGGAGACGAAACGGACCAGCGTAGCAGACGCCTTGTGTAGCGAGAGCTGGCCATCGACCTTCTAGAGGGGACCAAATGACCGCTAGAATTGGGCTCAAGGTGTAGTTTAGGGTTTAGGGTTTAGGGTTTAGGGTTTAGGGTTTAGGGCTTAGGGTTTAGGGTTTAGGGTGGGGGGTTTGGGGTTTGGGGTTTAGGGTTTAGGGTTTAAGGCTCATGGTGTAGTCGACCGAAATAGGGATCATCTATATAAAACCCATGATTATTGTGAGGGTTTAGGGTTTTGACAAGGGTTTGGGGTTTAGGGGGTCGTGTATTCTGGGGGGTTTGGGTTTAGGGGGGGGGGGGTCATATACCCTGTACCACGGCAATCCCTACAGTATGACGCCTCAACACTCCACTGTAATCCCCTTTCGGGTATATATATATATATATATATATGTGAGAGGGGCCTTTGGGGTCTATTTGGACACAATACATTAATTCATTTAATTCATTTAATTCTGCAGCCAAGTCGCCCCGAATTAAATGAATTAAATGAATTAATTAGTTAATTCATTTAATCCATTTAATTCTCCAGGCAAGGCCCCGAATTAAATGAATTAAATGAATTAATTAATTAATTCATTTAATTCATTTAATTCTCCCGGCAAGGCCCCGAATTAAATGAATTAAATGAATTAATTAATTAATTCATTTAATTCATTTAATTCATTTAATACATGTAATTCTGTAAATGGCCTGAGATCTCCCGTCCAGAGGCTCGATTTAATTCATTTAATTCATTTAATTCTCCAGGCAAGGCCCCGAATTAAATGAATTAAATGAATTAATTAATTAATTCATTTAATTCATTTAATTCTCCGGGCAAGGCCCCGAATTAAATGAATTAAATGAATTAAATCGGGCCCCTCTTATCCGAGATCCCAGGCTATTTAAAGAATTAGATGAATTAAATGAATGAATTAAATGAATTAAATGAATTAAATGAATTAAATGAAATAATTAGTTAATTCATTTAATTCATTTAATTCTCCAGGCAAGGCCCCGAATTAAATGAATTAAATGAATTAATTAATTAATTCATTTAATTCATATAATTCTCCCGGCAAGGCCCCGAATTAAATGAATTAAATGAATTAATTAATTAATTCATTTAATTCATTTAATTCATTTAATTCATTTAATTCATTTAATTCATTTAATTCATTTAATTCATTTAATTCTGTAAATGGCCTGAGATCTCCCGTCCAGAGGCTCGATTTAGTTCATTTAATTCATTTAATTCTCCAGGCAAGGCCCCGAGTTAAATGAATTAAATGAATTAATTAATTAATTCATTTAATTCATTTAATTCTCCGGGCAAGGCCCCGAATTAAATGAATTAAATGAATTAAATCGGGCCCCTCTTATCCGAGATCCCAGGCTATTTAAAGAATTAGATGAATTAAATGAATGAATTAAATGAATTAAATGAATTAAATGAATTAAATGAATTAAATGAATTAATTAGTAAATTAATTCATTTAATTCTCCAGGCAAGGCCCCGAATTAAATGAATTAAATGAATTAATTAATTAATTCATTTAATTCATATAATTCTCCCGGCAAGGCCCCGAATTAAATGAATTAAATGAATTAATTAATTAATTCATTTAATTCATTTAATTCATTTAATACATTTAATTCTGTAAATGGCCTGAGATCTCCCGTCCAGAGGCTCGATTTAAATCATTTAATTCATTTAATTCTCCAGGCAAGGCCCCGAATTAAATGAATTAAATGAATTAATTAATTAATTTATTTCATTCATTTAATTCTCCGGGCAAGGCCCCGAATTAAATGAATTAAATGAATTAAATCGGGCCCCTCTTATCCGAGATCCCAGGCTATTTAAAGAATTAAATCAATTAAATGAATTAAATGAAATAATTAGTTAATTCATTTAATTCATTTAATTCTCCAGGCAAGGCCCCGAATTAAATGAATTAAATGAATTAATTAATTAATTCATTAAATTCATTTGATTCTCCCGGCAAGGCCCCGAATTAAATGAATTAAATCAATTAATTAATTAATTCATTTAATTCATTTAATTCATTTAATTCATTTAATTCATTTAATTCATTAATTCATTTAATTCATTTAATTCATTTAATTCTGTAAATGGCCTGAGATCTCCCGTCCAGAGGCTCGATTTAATTCATTTAATTCATATAATTCTCCATTCTCCGGCCAAGGCCCCGAATTAAATGAATTCAATGAATGAAGTAATTAATTCATTTAATCCATTTAATTCTTTGAATTCTGTAAATGGGATGGGATCTCTGAGACGGGGAGGCCCGACTTAATTCATTTAATTCATTTAATTCATTTAATTCATTTAATTCATTTAATTCATTTAATTCATTTAATTCATTTAATTCATTTAATTCATTTAATTCATTTAATTCATTTAATTCGGGGCCTTGGCCGGAGAATTAAATGAATTAATTAATTACTTCACGTAATTTTTTCATTCATGTAATTCATTTAATTCATTTAATTCATGTAATTCTTTAAATGGGCTGGGATCTCTGAGACGGGGAGGCCCGATTTAATTCATTTAATTCATTTAATTCATTTAATTCATTTAATTCATTTAATTCATTTAATTCATTTAATTGATTTAATTCATTTAATTCATTTAATTCATTTAATTCATTTAATTCATTTAATTCATTTAATTCATTTAATTCTCCGGCCAAGGCCCCGAATTAAATGAATTAATTAATTCATTCACTTAATTCATTTAATTCTCCGGCCAAGGCCCCGAATTAAATGAAGTAAATGAATTACTTAATTAATTCATTTCATTCATTTAATTCATTTAATTCTTTAAATGGGCTGGGTTCTCTGAGACGGGGAGGCCCGCTTTAAGTCATTTAATTCATTTAATTCACTTAATTCTTTAAATGGCTTGGGATCTCTGATACGGGGGGCCCGATTTAATTCCTTTAGTTCATTTAATTCATTTTATTCTCAGGACAAGGCCCCGAATTAAATGAATCCCATGAATTAAATCGTGCCCCTTCTCAGAGATCCCAGGCCATTTAAAGAAATTCATTTACTTCCTTAAATGGCCTGAGATCTTCGAGACAGGGGCCGACACGGGAGACGGCCTCTCTCTCGGCATAGGAACCGAAAGAGCCTCGTTTTTTTTTAAAGGAGACCGCAATCCGAGGAGCTTTCTCATGCCTGCTTCGTAGAGCTCCTCTATCTGTTGTGAGACAGCTCCTCTATCTTTTGGTTGATAGGAAACTCATTCTCTTGTTAAGAAGTTCTTCTTTATTCGAGTGGAACATGAAGGACCTCCTGTTTCTCTGATGAAAGAGCCCCCCCCGTAGCTTCTCATTCCATTTCAAGGATATTGGGGCATCACTATTTCTTAGGAGCGCTGTCATTTCTTTTTGATGTCCACTTAACAAGGCACAGATAAAGACCCTCTCTCGTTTCCTATGAGGGCCTAGAGCTGTCTCATGTCTCATAACGAAACTTAGAAACAGGAAGCCCTTCATGGTTTAGTACAAAGTAGAGCAGCTGAGTCATGTCCGATTTATTAAGAGGAGCGCCTTCAGTTCCTATTCATAGGAAGAGAAAGGGGCTCACTTCTTCAAGCAGAAGAAAGGCTCTTTCGTAAGAGGCAAAGGAGCTCTGCGATTTTCTAACAGGGAGGCAAGGGCGAGAGCCCCCCCCCCCCGCTCATGACTTGTTGACGAGAAGAGAAGATAGAAGAGCTTGCTTTTTCATCGGGCTCTGTCACAAGAGGTAGGTAGAGAACGTTCTCATTTCCTGCGAAGAGATATAGCGTTTTCTGGAGCCAAGCTCTATACCATGTAAAAGACAGAGATCGAGTAGCTCCACCGTTTCGTTTCCAGAGAAAAGGCAGAAGAGCTCCTTCGCAAGAGGCAGAGTGGCTCTGTCGTTCAAATTTTTTAAAAGTGTATGAGAGACACAGGGGTTTCGGGGGCCACCTTATTTTCAAAGATAGCAGAGCTTTCTCATAATAGATACAAGAGCTTTTCTCTCTGAATCTCTTGTGAGACAGCCTCTATATCTCTGAATTGATATGAAACTCGTTCGCTCATGAGGGGGTTCTCTACCTTCTGGTAGGACACGGGAGACCTCCTTCCTCTCGGCATAGGATCTGAAAGAGCCTCGTCTTGTTTTAGGAAAGGAAAACGCGTCCCGAGGAGCTTTCTCATTCCTGCTTCTCCTACAAAGGAATAGAGGAGCTCTTGCAGAACATTTTCCAGAGATCGAGAAGCCCTCTTATGCCAAAAAAAGCGACTGAGATCCGTCATTAAGTGATGAGGAGCCTCTCAATTGTGTGAGTTCCTTTCGAGACTTCGCTACAGAGGAGCTCTTTCGTAGCAGGCAGGGGAGCCCTGTCATGTCTTGAAAAATTTAGAGGGGGCTCTTCATTTCTTACTAAAAGATCGCAGAGCCACCTTAAACAAAGACGCAGGAGCTCTTCTTGCCCTTGAAGAGCTCAAAGAGTATCTTCTAGTGGAACATGAAGGACCTTTTTCTCTGATGAATGAGCCCCATCATCCTTTACAGGAAACGAAAGCGTTTTTTTGCCCAGTAGCTGCCTCATTCCATTTTCAAAGGTAATGTGGCGTCAGAATTTCTTTGAAGTGCTGTCATTTCTTAGAAAGATAAATGTGCCTTCTGATGTCCACTTTTTCAAGGCACAGATAGAGATGATCTCCCGTTTCCTATGAAGGCCTAGAGTTCTCTCATGTCTCATAGCGAAACTTAGAAACAGGAAGCTGTTCACGGTCTCGTACAAAATAGAGCAGCTGAGTCATGTCCGACTAAGAGGAGCGCCTTCATTTTCTATTCATAGGAAGAGAAAGGGGCTCACTTCTTCAAGCAGAAGAAAGCTCTTTCGTAAAGGGCAGAGGTCTCTCGTGACCATGATACGGGCGCTCTTTCTGAAAAAGATGAAACACGAGCTTGCTCGCTCCCTAGGAAGAGCGAAACGAGTTTTCGCTGTTTTGATTACGAGGAGAGGAGCTCTTTCACATGAGGCAGGTAGAGAACGTTCTCATTTCCTGCGAAGAGATATAGCGTTTTCTGGAGCCAAGCTCTATACCATGTAAAAGACAGAGATCGAGGAGCTCTACCATGTCTTTGCTAGAGGTAAAGGAGCTTTGTGAGTTTTCAAAAGGCAGAAGAGCTCCTTCGCAAGAGGCAGAGGAGCTCTGTCGTTCACTTTTTTTGAAGGGTGTTTGATTGAAGAGACACAGGGGCTTCCGGGGCCACTTCATTTTTTAAAAGATAGCAGAGCTTTCTCATAAGAGATACAAGAGCTTTTCTCTCTGAATCTCTCGTGAGACAGCTCCTATATCTTTGCTTTTCGGCGTAGGAACTGAAAGAGCCTCGTCGTGTTTTAGGAAAGGAAAAACGCGCCCCGAGGAGCTTTCTCATTCCTGCTTCTCCTAGAAAGGAATAGAGGAGCTCTTGCAGAAGCCTTTCCAGAGATCAAGAAGCTTTCTTATGCACTTGAGCTCTGTGATTGCCTATTGAGTGATGAGGAGCTCTTTCGTCGCAGGCAGGGGAGCCTTGCCTGTCACGTTTTGAGAATTTTTAGGAGCTCTCTCATGTTGTGTTGGGAGATAGAGGGGGCTCTTCTTTTCTTACGAAAAGATCGCAGAGCCACCTCCAACAAAGACGCAGCAGCTCTTCTTGTCCCTGAAGAGCTCAAAGAGTATCTTCTAGTGGAACATGAAGGACCTTTTTCTCTGATGAATGAGCCCCATCATCCTTTACAGGAAACGAAAGCGTTTTTTTGCCCAGTAGCTGCCTCATTCCATTTTCAAAGGTAATGTGGCGTCAGAATTTCTTTGAAGTGCTGTCATTTCCTAGAAAGATAAATGTGCCTTCTGATGTCCACTTTTTCAAGGCACAGATAGAGATGATCTCCCGTTTCCTATGAAGGCCTAGAGTTCTCTCATGTCTCATAGCGAAACTTAGAAACAGGAAGCTGTTCACGGTCTCGTACAAAATAGAGCAGCTGAGTCATGTCCGACTAAGAGGAGCGCCTTCATTTTCTATTCATAGGAAGAGAAAGGGGCTCACTTCTTCAAGCAGAAGAAAGCTCTTTCGTAAAGGGCAGAGGTCTCTCGTGACCATGATACGGGCGCTCTTTCTGAAAAAGATGAAACACGAGCTTGCTCGCTCCCTAGGAAGAGCGAAACGAGTTTTCGCTGTTTTGATTACGAGGAGAGGAGCTCTTTCACAAGAGGTAGGTAGAGAACGTTCTCATTTCCTGCGAAGAGATATAGCGTTTTCTGGAGCCAAGCTCTATACCATGTAAAAGACAGAGATCGAGGAGCTCTACCATTTCTTTGCTAGAGGTAAAGGAGCTTTGTGAGTTTTCAAAAGGCAGAAGAGCTCCTTCGCAAGAGGCAGAGGAGCTCTGTCGTTCACTTGTTTTGAAGGGTGTTTGATTGAAGAGACACAGGGGCTTCCGGGGCCACTTCATTTTTTAAAAGATAGCAGAGCTTTCTCATAAGAGATACAAGAGCTTTTCTCTCTGAATCTCTTGTGAGATAGCTCCTATATCTCTGCTTTTCGGCGTAGGAACTGAAAGATCCTCGTCTTGTTTTAGGAAAGGAAAACGCGCCCCGAGGAGCTTTCTCATTCCTGCTTCTGAAAGGAATAGAGGAGCTCTCGCAGAAGCCTTTCCAGAGATCAAGAAGCTTTCTTATGCACTTGAGCTCTGTGATTGCCTATTGAGTGATGAGGAGCTCTTTCGTCTCAGGCAGGGGGGCCCTGCCTGTCATGTCTTGAGAATTTATAGGAGCTCTCTCCTGTTATGTTGGGAGATAGAGGGGGCTCTTCATTTCTTAGCAAATGATAGCAGAGCTACCTCTACAACATGCAGCAGCTCTTTTCTTTCCCTGAAGAGGTGCTGAAGCTCAAGCAGTAGAGGAGTGGTCATAGAGCTCCTGTATCTTTTGTGAGACAGCTCCTCTATCTTTTGGTTGATAGGAAGCTCATTCTCTTATGAGGGAGTTCGTCTATCTTCGAGCGGAACATGAAGGACCCCCACTTTCCCTGATGAAAAAGCCCCTCCATCTTTTATGGGAAATGAAAGCGCTCCTCCCACCCCCCCCCCCAACCCCTCAGTAGCTTTCTCGTTCCGTTCAAGGTAATGGGGCGTCACTGTTTCTTAGGAGCGCTGTCATTTCCTAGAAGATAGATGTGCTTTCTAATATCCACTTAAGAAGGCACAGTAGTTTCCAATTAAGGCCTAGAGAAGAAGCTGAGAAGCTGCCTCATGTGACAGGGCGAAATCTAGACACCGCTACAAAATAGAGCAGCTCTGTCACGTCCGATGGCCAGGAGCACCATTCATTTCCCGTTCATAGAAAGAGAGAGAGGGGCTCTGTCACTCCTAGAAAGAGATAGGGGAGCTCTCTCATGCAAGAGTTAAAGATACATAAAGGAGCTCTCTCATTGAAGACACATAAGGAAGTTCTCTCATTGCCTATTAATCGCTAGAGAACCTGTCCTCACTTTTCAAGTAGAAGAAAGGCTCTTTCGTAGCTCTGTCATTTCCTAAAAAAGAGTTAAGGACGGAAGCCCTCTCATGACTTGTTGACGAAAAGGATAGAAGAGCTTGCTCATTGTGCATTAGGAGGTGGCGGAGCCCTTTCATAAGAGGCAAGGGCGCTTTCTCGTTTCCGCTCATAACGTGAGGTAGAGGACCTCTGTCATTCCTATTAAGCGATAAAGGATGTCTCTCGCGACCTTCTATTTGGTAGAGACCCTCTTTTCCGAAAAAAGATAGCCGTAGAGGAGCTTGCCATGCCCCATTAAGAGCCATAGGAGTTTCCGTAGTTTTGATTACGAGGTAGAGGAGCTCTTTCGCAAGCGGTAGGTAGAGAACGATCTCATTTCTTGCAAAGAGATAGAGGAGCCTGCGAATCATAGTAGCTCCCTATTTGCTTTCAAGAGGTAAACGAGCTTTTTGAATTTACTAAGGGCAGAGGAGCTTTTTGCAACAAACAAAGAGCTCTATCTGTCATCATTTTTATTAAGAGATAGCCGTTTCCTAGAAGATAAACGAGATTGTTCATGTCCCATTGTACAAAAGGCAGAGATACAGAAACTATCTTGCTTCTGCTGAAGACCTAGAGGACCTGTCTCATGTCTCATGAAGAAGTGAAAAAAGAGACGTGTGCATGTCTTACTAAAAGATAAAGCAGCTCTGTCATGCCCATTAAAGTTTTAAGGGCCACCTTTCATTTGCTATCGGAAATACAGCCTGGTTTCTCATGCCTACTCAGCAATAAAAGCTTTCTTCCAGCTTAGTAAGAGACAGAGGATTAAGACGATTGTGTACTTAAGTATAAAGGAAATGGCCAAATAGACCCTAAAGGTCTCGGCCACATATATATATATATCCCTAAACCCTCATCCCTAAACCCTAAACCCTAAACCCTTTAGACTTCACAATTCCTCGCCCAGCAGCTGCAGCTCGGTCGAGCGCCAGCCACAGCACGGGGGCCGTGGCCGTGACCAGGCGGAGGTACGAGAAGGCCGCGCCCGCGAGCTGATCGACCAAAGCCGCCTGCAGCCTTGTAGGGTTTAGGGTTTAGGGTTTGGGGTTTAGGGTTTAGGGTTTGGGGTTTCGGGTTTGGGGTTTAGGGTTTGGGGTTTAGGGTTTAGGGTTTAGGGGTTTGGGGCTTGGGGTTTGGGTTCTGGTATCCCAGTAACGATCTCCTAGTCAGGGTACCCTTTTTGGGTGGTCTCCTTACTAGGGGAACATTGAGCCAAAAAAAGAAAATAGGGCCCCACTGGGCTACCAAGCAGCTTCTCCTGGGTTGGTCGAAGTTTGCGACCGACCCAAACCAAGCCTAAGTTGACTGGTAACCTGGGATTATCAAAAAGGGTGCCCTTATTTTGCTCAAAAGGGCTATTATAAGGGAACCTAAACCCTCCCCCAAAAAAAGGGAATAAGGGAACCTAAACCCCCCCAAAAAGGGGGAAATAGGGCACTATTGGGGCATCCTAGAAGCATCGATGCATGGTAGAATGATCTCACGGTCGCAGATCCCCCCATGAGGGCGCCCCCTTTGCGGAGCAGGTTGACGTCGAAGCAATACCAATACCAATACCCTGCACGCAGCAGCCGCTGGTGCATGTCTCAATGGACACGCTTCGCACCTGTCCTTCAAGCACTTCTCAAAGGGTTTAGGGTTTAGGGTTTAGGGTTTAGGGTTTAGGGTTTAGGGTTTAGGGTTTAGGGTTTAGCGTTTCGGGTGCCTTCAAGCACGTCGATGCTGCGGAAGTAGGATCTGACTGAATAGGACGTGAGGCAGAAGAAGGGGACGACCAACGAGCCCCCGATGAGGACGGTGAAGTCCCCGAAGGCGCCGCGCAGAGCCAGGTAGAGCATGGCCATGACGCTCAGGCTCACGTGGATCACCATCAAGGCGGGTCCGAGCATGGGCGGGCAAACTCTTAGGTTCATCCTCGCGTGTTCCTCACTCTTCTGACTGTGCAGGAAAGCACTTAGCTCGAAGATGCACCATAATCTTGTCACCTTTGTAGCCGAATGTAGCCAACCCTGTACTCATAAGGAGGTTAGTATTGTATTCAGAAAGCAGAACCCAAAAAAAGGGGGTACCACCGGCCTACCAAGTCACATAGCTCGGACACCAAAGTACCAGCATGCTCTTGGAGCTCTTTAAGATGGCGCCCATGCTGACCAGGCCACTGCCTTTCTGTTCCTCGCTGCTCTGATCTATGCATGCAATGTCCAAGAACACGCGCTTCTGGCGAAGGAAGAGCACGATGGTCAAGTAGTGTGCCAGAATCCCGAAGAGTGTACACCATTGACAACTCCAGTAATTCCAGTGCATACCGCGCCACTCTGGTAGCACACCCGCCTGGAAGAGGGCCAGCGCCAATAGGGAGCCGAGTGTTCCCAGCAGAAAAGCACATGAGCCATTGTTGAGGTAGAGTATGTTGACGTACTTCATCCAAGCCACGTCACGCCAGCTGTGGGACAAAAACTCATCGATCCTTGGGGCCAAACTGCTATCCTGAAAGGGTTTATGGTTCACCTATCTTAATTAATTGGAATTGTTCATATATCTTAATAAATAGGAAATATTCATATACCGGAAATATTCATATACCTTAGTTTAATAGGAATCAATCATTTTATACCTTAACTAAGAGGAATTATAGTAGCATCGGGTACATGCCCCTAATTTTACGGTGCATTTGGTCTTCGAGGATCTGGATCACCTCCTCACTGAAGTCGTGCAGCAAGTCGAGCCCACCGCGCAGCCAACACCAGGGCGCATACCTTACTGTTGGTTGGTAGGGAATAGGGTTTAGGGTTTAGGGTTTAGGGTTTGGGGTTTAGGGTTTAGGGTTTAGGGTTTAGGGTTTAGGGTTACCCTATATCATCCTGAAAGGGTATATATATATATAGGGGGATATAGGGTGCCTCATTCCCTCATTCCCTACTAACCGAGAGTAAGATGCTGCAGCAAGCGGAACACGCGTATCCCTCGGATCATCCGCGGGTGTGTAGGTGTCATGGAGGAGACGTACGAGAAATAGAGGTCCTGAGTACCACGGAAGCCCAAGAATCAAAAGGGCCACTTGCATTGATACCAACTGACGGGGAACCAAAAGGCTCTACCTCCCCAAGAAAGCATGACCCTAACCCCCTAACCCCGTAACCCCCTAAGCCCTACACCCTTTGAACCCGGAACCCCGTTGAACTCTTAGCTCCTAGCCCTAAACCCTAAACCCTAAACCCTAAACCCTAAACCCTAAACCCTAAACCCTCAAAAGGGAAGAAAGCCACTAGGTCGCATCGGTGGCACTGCTAGAGACCTGAGCTCATTTGCTTCTGGAGATCGAGAGCTCGCTTCCTTGGGAGGCTTAAGGCTTAGGGCTTAGGGCTTAAGGCTTAGGGTTAAGGGTCCAGGGTTCAGGGTTTGGGGTTTGGGGCTTGGGGTTTAGGGTTTAGTGTTTAGGGTTTAGGGTTTAGCTAGGGCCTAGGGTTGGGGTTTAGGGTTTAGGGTTTAGGGTTGTGCCCAAAGCGGGCTTAGGGTTTAGGAGGCCCATGTGCCCTACAATCCCTAGTTCAGTGCAGAGCATTGTGATCCCATAAGCCCTGAGCCAAAACCCTCTCGGCAGAAGGGTCCGGTACACGTAATATGACACCAAGTTCAGCTAGGGTTTGATTGGGTAGACCCAGGAGTAACCTAGGAACAACAAGGGCCCTTTTTGATTTAAATATGAAAGGGGCTTGAAAAAGGGAACCCAAACCCTAACAGAAAGGGAATAAGGGCCTACGGTGGGTCCTAGCTCTAAACCCTAAAACCTTAAACATGTCCTAGCCCTAAACCCTAAACCCTGAAACATGTAATCAGGTAAACCCTAAACCCCCCAGAAAAAGGAAATAAGGAGTTGGTCAAGTGACATCCATCTCAAGAGGTGCGCCGATGGGATACGGCACCTCCATCTTGTCGGCCATGGCCGTGAACCAGGGTCAGAAGAAAAAACAGGCTAAGCAGAGAATCGCCCCACGCTGAGTCCTAAACCCTAAACCCTAAACTCTAAACCCTAAACTCTAAACCCTAAACCCAAAACCCTTTTACACCCTAAACCCTAAACCCCAAACCCAAGCAAAACCCTAAACCCGAAACCTACACGCCCCGCAAACTCTGGAGTACCAAGCTCTATCTCCCCTCCCCCGACCGATTGGGGGATGTCGTTTCCTTTGAAGGAGAAGACTGCAGAACTCCCCGGTTGAGGATGTGTAAGGCTTAGGGTTTAGGTCCAGGTTTCTGAGGTCTGGGTTTGCGGTTTACAGGGCTGATGTAGGGCTTCTGGTGTCTATGAGGGTTTGCAGAGCCGTCTGTGGGGTTCGGGGTTCAGGGTCTAGGAGGAACCCAGAGTGTTACTGAAGCACACAGGGCCACACCCGAAATAAGCCCTAAGCCTGAAGCCCTAAGCTCCACCCTAAACGAACCCTAAACCCTAAACCCTAGACCCTAGACCGTGGACCCTAAACCCTAAACCCTAAACCCGAAACCCAAAACCTAACCCTACAAAACCCGATTCAGGACCTCTAACGGAGAATGAGCGAACCCCAAGAACCACTGCCTTGGGGTTTGGGTTTAGGGTTTAGGGTTTAGGGTTTAGGGTTTAGGGTTTGGGGTTTGGGGTTTGGGGTTTGGGGGTTAGGGTTTGGGCTTCGTGTTAGGGCTCAGGCTTTAGGGCAAAAGCCCGTGTAGTGAGGGTTTAGGGTTTAGGGCTTCGGGGTTTTCTGCTTGGAGAGGCCTGTGCGTTGGCGAATGTCGTCGACGATCGTAGAGGATATAAGATCCCAAGTTTAGGGGGAAGGGCCCAGGTACATGTACGACGAATACCTGGATACCCTGGCCCAGTTCCTTCTTCTGCGTGGTGCCTTCTACCGGTATCCTAAACCCTAAACCCTAAACCCTAAACCCTAAACCCTAAACCCTAAACCCTAAACCCTAAACCCTAAGTAATGCAAACCAAAGCAGTATAGGTACCAAAGAAATGCACCACAACCCGCTATAGACTCCCAAACCCCGAATCTGAAAGTCCCCAAAACCCACACTTCCCAAACCCTAAACCCTAAACCCTAAACCCTAAACCCTAAACCCTAAACCCTAAACCCTAAACCCTAAACCCTAAACCCTAAACCCTAACCCACTTGAGGGCATGGCTATAAGCCAAAGGCCAAGCACAATCTCTGCGACTGTGCTGCTGTGGAGGATCTTGTCAGGGAGGCACTTCAAGGGATTTTAGGATTTAGAGTTTAGGGTTTAAGGGTTTAGGGTTTAGAGTTTAGGGTTTAGGGCTTAGGGTGTCGGTTTAAGCTTTGGCGGCTGTAGGGGTATTTGGGGGGTTTAAGGATTCTAGCGCTTGTGGACCTTGGGTCAAAGGCCGAGTGGCCTTCAATCCCAGCACTTGTACCAGGGTGGTGTCGCAAAATTGGATTTCTGATCTCCACTTCCCTAAGCCCTAACACTGTGAGAATCGAACAGATGGCAGGCCCGGCAGGATGTTGTGAAGTGCTATGGCAATCCCATTTGGGGCGGCTGCAGCTCCTGTTCCCGCCCCTCTCCCTGACTGGCACGTTAACCCTAAACCCTAAACCCTAAACCCTAAACCCTAAACCCTAAACCCTAAACCCTAAACCCTAAACCCTGACTGGCACTTTGGGACGGCGCACACTAGAAGGGATACCTCGGCACGAACAAAAGAACCGAAGCCCCACCACTCAGTTGAACCCGAAACCGCCTAAACCCTAAACCCTAAACCCTAAACCCTAAACCCTAAACCCTAAACCCTAAACCCTGAACCCTAAGCCCTAAACCCTAAATCCTAAACCCTAAACCCTGAAGCCTAAACCAACTCGAAAACCCCATGACCTTGAGGAGCCCTGGGCATAGAAGACATGCTCCGTTGAAGGAACGTTCGAATACCCGCAAGCAAGGAGTTGTTCATGGCATTGAGGTTCTTGCCCGGAATGCCCAGCTCACCGGATAGCACCGCAGCAACAGCAGGGGTCAGCCAGCAGTACTCCAACATGGTGAACGACAATGTCGCTGGTTCAGGGTTTAGGGTTTAGGGTTTAGGGTTCAGGGTTTAGGGTTTAGGGTTTAGGGCTACTGACTGGTACTGCATTCGAGCAAGGCACGTCCATGGCCTTCTTCATGGCATCTTCGGCGGCGGACGATCATAGGGCGTTCCATCGATCACGAGTTGCAATTCTTCAGACCCAGCTCAGCTGTGCAACAGAAGCATTATAATCATTAGAGTCATTCAAAGCACGAAACCTAAAAGACCCTACAAGCCCTCACCCCTTCGGTAGTTCTGGTACACCTCCTGGACCCAAACCCGTAAACCATAAACCCTGAACCCTATAAGCCCTAAGCCCTAAGCCCTAAGCCCTGAGCCCTGAGCCCTGAGTCCTGAGCCCCTGAGCCCTGAGCCCTGAACCCCCCCCCCCCCCCTCCATGAACCGCATAAGCCAAAAAAGAGACCTAGGCGCAGGTAGCTCAGTAAAAGCTCAACACCCAACGCCCTAACACCCTACCACCCTGACACCCTAACGGCCTAACACCCTAACACCCTGAACTCTAACATCTTAACCCTAAACCCTAAACCCTAAACCCTAAACCCTAAACCCTAAACCCTAAACCCTAAACCCTAAACCCTAAACCCTAGCAGTTCTGGCACCTCCGCCTCTCGCTCCTTCAGCTTGGCCCAGGTTCCTGCAAAGACCTGTCGCCCACCACAGGGGGGCCAAAGGCAGGCAACAAAGGTTTATAGGGGTTAGCACCCTAAACCCTAAACCCTAAACCCTAAACCCTAAACCCCAAACCCCAAACCCTAAGCCCGAAACCCTAAACCCGGGCTGACCGGCCATGAGTCGGAAAAAGCCCAAAGCCAACTCTAAACCCTAGTTACCCGAAGCCAAGGTTCGGCTCCTTGAAGCCTTGAAGCCGTCAACACGAGAATGCCCTGCAAGCATAATCATCCCTATACCCTATACCCTATACCCTAAACCCTAAACCCTAAACCCTAAACCCTAAACCCTAAACTTTGTGGGCAGAAACATCTTGCAGGGAGATTGTTTAGGAGGGAGGATGGTGGGGCGCTTGTGTGGACCGCTTTGAGACAGAAGACCCGATCTAAACTCCGTGCAGCTGGTTTAGGTTGTTCGGGCTGCAGGGCTTGAGGTTTTGGGCCCTTTCTAGAGTTTGAGGCTTTAGAGTTTCAGGGCTTCAGAGTTTAGATTTGAGGCATTAGGGCTTTAGTGTTTCAGGGTTTAATCCGAAGAGCTCGGCCACCCCTAAACTTCGGACATTGCCACGGTCCCACAAGCGACCGTTACGAGTGTCTCCTCCCACTGTACAGCTCAGGGTTTAGGGCTTAGGGTTTACGAATACAGGGTGGGGCCCCCTTACTATACTAACTGTAGTTAAGGGACTTATAACCTAACTTAGGGTCCTTATAACCCAATTTAGGGCCCTTATAACTCTACTTATAACTAGGGGGCCCCACCCTGTAGGGTTTAAGAGGGTGGTTTACGGCAGCCCAAACCCCCTTGACTTGAACCGAAAACAAATTAGCCCACAGCCTTCGAGCCTTCCTTTTTTTGGGGTAGGACGAACCCTATAACCAACAACAGCCAACAGCCAACAGCCTTTCGGTTTGGGAGTTAGGGTAGCCCGAGCCCCTAAAACCAATCACCCGGAATCCTAAATCCCCAAATTTGCTAACCCTAAACCCTAAACCCTAAACCCTAAACCCTCTAGCAGCCCCAGAGCCTTCCTGACAAAAAGCCAGGGCCCCTCCCTTGCGCGATGCCTTCCAGATCCGGTTGTCTGGCCTCAGTCGGTGGACGGCGGAAGGCTCAAGGTTTGGGGTTTTGGGGTTTATAGCACCCTAAACCCGAAACCCGAAACCCTAAACCCTAAACCCTAAACCCTAAACCCTAAACCCTAAACCCTACTCTTCCGAAGGTTCAGATGGAAAGTTTCAGGCA